AAGAACATAGTATGTCGCTTCGGGCTACCTTGGGTACTGGTCTCCGACAACGGCAAACAGTTCGAGGATATCAAGTTCCAAGAATGGTGCCAAAGTATGGGAATTCGTCAGAACTTCACGTCAGTCGCACACCCGTAGGCAAACGGTCAGACAAAAGTAATGAACAGAGCCATCCTCCGCGGACTGAAAGCACAACTAGACCGAGCTAAAGGGTTGTGGGCGGACGAGCTACCAAGTGTCCTGTGGGCTCACCGAACCACGGAAAAAACCGCTACAGGAGGGACCCCCTTTAACCTCACCTACGGCACCGAAGCGGTAATCCCAACGGAAATCGAAGTACCTACGCTGCGACTAGAAGCATACAACGAGCAGACAAACGGAGACGAGTTACGCACCAACCTCGACCTACTAGACGAGGTAAGAGACCTCACGCACATCCGAACTGCGGCCTATAACGCCAGAGTAAAGAAGAGGAGCTTCCGCATCAGCGACCTGGTTCTCCGTAAGATCATGGTACCCGAACCCGGCGTGGAAAAACTCGGACCAAATTGGGAAGGACCCTATAGAGTAAAGAAAGCACTCGGGGGGGCATACAAGCTCGAAACCTTAGAGGGAAAACAAGTACCCCGAGCATGGAACATCGTCAACCTAAGGCGATACTACCTATAGACCGCCAAGCAAAGTGGCAAAATAGGCCGCGCGAGTGCGGTAGCCCGGACAGGAAACAGATCGGGCGTATGATTAGTTCGACAAATATGCTTAGTTCGGGAGAAAGAACAACCAACACTTAACCAAAAGTCATTCCATTTCAAAAGTAAGGTAGTACATAAAAAAAAATTTACAAGCCCAGAGCTATTTCTTCATTATCAGAAGGCACTTCAACAATACCCGAAGGCCTCGCCTCGCCCTCAGAGTCTGGCTCACCGTCAGCAGCATTGGCCATCTCCTGAGTTATGTGCGAAGTGGATATGGCGCTAATATCGAGCTCGAGGTACGTATTCTGGATCATCCATCGGCTTAGTTTGAAACCCCTCCTGTATGAATCCACCATCAGATTATCAAAGCTCGGCGAAGCAATGTACTCATCAACAACCTTCTTCTTGGCATCTTCGATACCTTGAGAAAAGATCTGCGTCCTCTCCCTGATGTCCTCTTGAAGGTACTCGACCTGATGCTGCAGATCC